GAAATAGCTCACGTTTTTATACACGCAAACCTTTGATAGATCCGGCCCAATGTTGGTTCAATTCTGAGTTTGTTAGGGGGATGTTTGATCTCTTTTATTGCAACAGACATGTTCTCTTAGTGTTTCAAAAACTCAGGTTACAAAGTTTATTATTCTCAGAGTGCTTAATACAACTCAAAAACCAGTCTTCTTGAGCAGGTGGTCTCAAACTTAAAAATGTCCCTGAGTGAACTCAAAGTAAACAAATGTTCCCAACAATAGTTCCTATTGTTACCTAGATTACCTATAAAACTCTTCAATACCCATCTCTGAAACAAAAATATGATGTTGAATACAGGTAAGTTAAACAGTGCATTAGATACGATTGTAAGTGAGAGTAAACAGGTAGACAGAGGAAAGGAAAATAATTACTAATAAAGCTGAACAAGAAACCAAGTGTTTCCAAAATTCAAAAAAAGAACACAAGAATAAAGGAGAAAACTAAAGATAAAATATCTAATGAAACAAGTTTGTAGAAATAATGAGCAATACTGAAGTCAAATTAGAATTTCTATTTTGAAATGACAACAGGCATTTACAAAATTAAATAGTAATCAATTTACAACACAAAAGAAAATTAACAACTTCCAAAATACTTTCTCTTCAGTTGTAGGGATGTAAACACAATTTAAATCCCAATTCCCAAACTCAACATTGAGCCCAAAATTAACTTGTTGCAGGCCTGATTTAGCCAGGTAAATAGACAGGTGAAGGAAACCCAATCACCATTGTCACCGAGGCAGCAACATCACTGGTGGGAATTGAAATGGATGAATGGGAGTCTTCCGTCGATCCCACAGAAAAAGCGTAGCTCGTGATCCACGGTACAGATTAACAGCGATGAGTGTGATTATCATTTGGTGAACCTAACTCAACAACTGAAACTATGCAAAACTGCAGCACACAGCAATGCCATGCATATGCAGCAGGAGCTCAAGAAACGGTTTTACCATTCCCAAGAAAGTGAAAAAAAGCAGAAAAAAACAGAGTCATAAATAAATTAGGATAAATATCGGGTAAGTCTTTACAGGAGGAAGGTGCAAATGAAGCAGAACAATTTTGAGTTGCCATGTTTCTAATGACAAGGAAGTGGAGTTCAATTAAATAGTGTTGCTCTTAACCAAAGAAAGCAACGCTACATCCCATATATACCAATCTTGTACAGGTACAGAAATGGTACAGAAAGTACATGTTAGTAAATCTCAAAGACGCAATGAACTCAAGCTTAAGTTTGCAGCAGAAAAAGAAAAATTTAGTTTTTTTTTTTTTTTAATAAAAAAGTAATTGTGTTTAGGCTTCTTTTTCAGAAATAATTCCAGCATTACCAACCAGATATAGCATGCACATGGTTTCATCTTGAGCTGTTGGTCACCCGAATAAAAATGTATTCGGGTGACCAAAAGTCGGACTATCCTCCACCAGTGATAGTCCGACCAGACTTAGTACAGTCAGCTAAACCAGCCCTGACTTTAATTCAGTTGACCCTGTTTCAACCTGAAAGTGACCTTTAGGATCCTCCTGCACCGACTACAGCGCGGATTCATCCTGGGAGACACCTGTTGATCCATACAATGCTGCAGAGATTCGCAGCTCCGCCACACACTGCTCCCGCGTCTCTAAACAAATCTCTGTGTTTTAGCCGTCAGCAGCCAGCTGGCTCGCTCTGACACCAATGCATTTCTTGGAGGTAACTAAGTGACCATTTTGACATCAAAACAAAATTAAGATAAAACCAACTGCTACTATGAATAAGGACAGAGAAAAGACACTGGCTTTTGTGGCCAGGCAACATGAGGCCACTGTCAAGGCTCAGAACAGAGGACCCAGTTTTTGCAGCAGACAGACAGATTTCTTAAAAAAAATGTTTATTAAGAAAATGAATCTGCAGTGAACAGTGAAGGCAGGAACCTCTGCAGGGAGAAAACACAGGTTAGTGACCACGTGTATCTGATGAAGGATGATTATGAACATATGA